AGGCTGGCTGGGGAATTCTGGGAGTTGAAGTCCATTCATCTTAAAGTGGCCAAGTTTGGACAACACTGGCTTAAAGACAAGGTACGAGGGGTTCAGGTCAGTCTCCACAGGGAAGCTGTTGGGTATATTGAAGTTTCAGAGGAGGCTTTTGTTGCTCAGCCACGCTGTGCATCATAAATAAAATTTAACAAGATGACTACTTACGTTTGCAGCCCGCCTGTAGTTTCTTACCAATTTCAACTTCATTTTTTCCGTGCGAAGACATTTAGAGACAGGACAGTGGCATACTCCATTTCGATGTGGTAGAGTTCTCTGTCTGGAGGCATCCTGATCTATGCTGATTCCCAAGAACAGTAAGCGATAGAGTCACCACTAACACCGGTTGGGTTCACACACACAAATTAAAACTTAGAACAATGGCTTTAGTTCATACATGGTGATAAGCAATTTCAGGATTTCCTTGTGTTTTGTGTACCATTTTATGTGAACTCAGGTTTCCCAGATTGTAAAACATAGTTTTATAGTGTGGGGGACATAAGTGATTCCAGTCATTTGCATCATATTCAACCTTGGTTAAACAAACTATGGATTAATGCAATTTTGGAACTAGTTATTGGCACTGTTTTGTACTTCCACTTTTTAAATACATACATACTTACACAGAGAATCCTACCTAAGTGTTGCGTTTGAAACTAACTTGAGTTTAACGAGGATGGACATCTCTTTTGTAGGTGGGTTACACTTTCTAGAATGATCCCCCTTCAGTAAAAATTTGCTGGGTAATGATTGTTGTGATATGATAGTACTAATGATGGGGTGAGAACTGTTTAATCCCTTTTTCCTAATTTTTAAACTGAGAAAGTTGAACTACATTAAATCGTTGTGTGTGTTTTACAATGGCAGTTAGTGGGAAAGCATGCTCATTTTTTAAATAGCTTACTGTGATTTTTTTTCCAGCATCATCTTAACAAGATGAAGGACTTCCCAAAAATAGGTCCTGCAGATTGTAGGCTAACATTCAAGGTTGCCCATTTCTGAGTGAAGCAGTATTCACATTCTCTGTATTCTCCTCCTTTTGTTTTGGCTTATTGTAGGCATGGAGAGTGCAATCACGCTGTGGCAATTCCTGTTGCAGTTGCTTCTTGATCAGAAACACGAACACCTGATTTGTTGGACATCCAATGATGGTGAATTTAAGTTACTTAAGGCAGAAGAAGTTGCTAAGCTGTGGGGACTCAGAAAAAACAAAACTAACATGAATTATGATAAACTGAGCAGAGCTCTGAGATACTATTATGACAAGGTATTTTTAAAAATTCTAATTTTCAGTAAACAAAAATAGTCTTATGTATACAATATACCTGTTTTCTCCAACCCAGAGACTTGAATGCTCTCCTTTCAGTGCACTTGCAGAATTATAAAGTATTTGTTAAATTCTTTGCTGCATATATTTCAGTTATTACCCTGAAAATTGTAAAATTATTTTTTTACAGAAGAACAAAACAATCTGGCTTCCATGACTTTGCATCAGCAAGTAGGATGTAAAATCTCCTTTTATAAAATGAAAATAAAATTCTACCCTTTTATAAAAATGGAGAAGAAAGGAATTTCTTTTCCATTTTTATAAAAGGGTAGAATAGCTTGCATGGCTGCTTTGAAAGCCATTCCTAGCTAGCTTTGCATGATTTGCAAACATAGCCACTTGGCTCTTCTGAGTGCATGAATGCAGAGACAGCCTGGGGTACTTGGGAAGCAGTTGTGTGAACATGAAAAAGTCACAGCTGCTTACAAATGTGAAAAGTGGTACTTTGTATGCCCTCCTATGCTTTCTGAAGCACTTCTTTCAAAGGGTTTCACAGCCCTATTATGTTATGGTGGTATAGTAGTAAAATACTATAATACAAAAATCAGCATTATGGTATATGATATTGTAATGCTGTACTGTCTTATAAAAGCATTTTAGGGGTAATTAAAATGGTTCCCATCCAATCTATGTTAAGCACGTTGATGAGGATGGAATATAGAATGAATACATTAAAAAAGTACAATACTCCTGGATAGTATGAAAAGACAATGTTGCATGTACTGTAGTTTAAAAAGAAGAACAGTGTTTGGGTATACTCAGAATTACATTTTGGAAGGTTAGAAAAGAAAGGGGAAAGTACAGAGGAAAGGGAAGTGTAGTGGGAAAACAAATAATCCCTGAATTTTCTGTGAAGTGCTATCGTTAACCATATTTGTCAAATCTTGTGTTAAACAATTTGGCCATATAGCTCAGTGCTGGTAATTGAATTACCAGCAGCTTTTTGAAGTCTGTGAAGATCTCATTCTTCCAATCCTTTTAACCAGAGATGCCAGGATCTAGGAACCTTTTGCACAGTCAGTCCCTTGCATTACTTTGAACTATTTTGTCAAGCCACTTACATATTTTGTTTCATATCTGCTTTGATATTTTGTGCAGAACATTATCAAGAAGGTGATTGGTCAGAAGTTTGTGTACAAGTTTGTTTCATTCCCGGAGATCTTAAAGATGGATCCTCATGCTGTGGAAATCAGCAGGGAAAACCTTTTGCTGCAGGACAGCGACTGCAAGATACCTCTGGAGAGCAGAGAACAGCATAGGCATGGTCTCCCAGTCTTGAAAGGCACAAGCCGCAATGAATATATTCACTCGGGGCTGTACTCATCTTTCACCATCAATTCCTTACAAAATCAGCCAGAAACTCTCAAGCAAATTAAAACAGAGAAGCTGGAGGAGAAATTGGAAGAGGCTACACCTCTGGAAGAAGTCCGGACTGTTATTAGATTTGTGACAAACAAAACAGACAAGCAAATCATGAGGCCCGTTGTGTCATTGCCATCTACATCTGAAGCAGCAAATGCTTCTGCATTTTTAGCATCCTCTGTCTCTGCAAAAATATCATCCTTAATGTTGCCCAACACAACTAGCATTTCCTCAGCTTCGCCATCTTCCTCCCGATCACCATCTCTGTCACCTAACTCACCCCTTCCCTCAGAACACAGAAACATCTATCTGGAGTCTACCTGCCAGGATTCAGATTCTCTTGAGCCACTGAACCTCTCTTCAGGATCCAAAGCAAAATCTCCTTCTCTGCCCCCAAAGGCTAAGAAACCCAAAGGCTTAGAGATCTCCGCGCCTCCAATGGTTCTTTCAAGTACTGACCTCGGCTCTATTGCCCTCAATAGCCCTGCGCTTCCTTCAGGATCCTTGACTCCTGCTTTCTTCACTGCACAGGTAAGAGGGGTGTCTTTGAATTCCTAGCTGTAATTCTCAAAATTCTGTACCAACAAGGCATCCTTCTTGGTTGTTGATTTAGAACTGTAAAACAATTCCAAGTTTTTTTGGGAAAGAATTTAGAAATATATGCCATTGCAAAAAATACTTTAAAGTAAAAGGGACAGTGGACAGCCAGTATGCAATTTATTATTTAAGTTACCTTCTGTTAGAAGTGTTGAATGCTGAACAACCAGAATCAATTGCAATGGGAAGAGGATCAGTTTAGTGGGGGAAGTGGACTCCAGTATTTTGGGAAGGGGAGAATTAGGAATTCCTATCCCTGCTGTAGATAAGTGATTTTTCCTACCTGGAGAAAATAGGCAAGACCTAGGAAATAATTTGGCAGATGGTGTATAAGTCTATGCAACTGTTTCTGGCCAGCGGATGAGATGTTCCTATAGTTGTACTTACTAATAACAATTAACTACATAGCTATTATAAATAAAAACATTACAAAACAGTATACAAAGTCAGAGCAGCAGCAAATATGTATTTGTGGAGTCCTTAAGGTGAATACAAATATGTATTTGTAAAATTACATATAATTTTAAGCATTACAAAAATGTGTTTGGGGAGAAGGTTCCAAAGAGAAGTACTACCACAACCATGTTGTGGTTGTGGCAGTATATTGGCAATATTCTTCCAGTATTCTCCAGGCAAACAGAATAAACTAACCTTCTCCAGCTTGGTCATTCCAAATGTGTTAGACCACAGCTCCTAGCCAGCATGGCCAAAAATAGGAACTGTGTTCTGCGTCTGGAAGATACCAGGTTAATGAAGGCAGGAATAAACTAATTACAGTTGTCAGAGGGATTTTAGAGGAAATACAAACAAGAATTGAAATTAATCCAAATAATTAGAATGGGTTTAACCATATGTGAAATGTGATCCAAAAACACTAGCACACAAATGTAAGGACATATTTGATCAAACCCCAGCTGTACATGCGAAAGGACGTTTGGTTATTTTTTTCCAGCACTATATGTTACATATACGTACTCATAAAAGGTGACATTTCATCTGCTTATTAAGAGATTTTACTGTCTTTTAGGGAGAGACTATTAAGTGTCTTTCAACTGAAAAGAGAACTGTGAGGAGTCTTAGTCATTATAAAATGAGCTTCATCTATTTTGGATTATAATAAGAGATCATCTTAAGCTAAAGTTTCTTACTGGGGCTGCACATGCTTTGAAAATTATTTGGAAGAAATGCTTTAGACTTTGTGTGAGCAAAGCATCTTTCTGCTCTTCATGAAAACAGCCCAGCCCAACTTTTTCAGATTTCCACGAGCCTGGAAAAAGCTGTTGCTAGTGGCTTAGTGGAATGTATGGTACTCTACAACAGTACCATATTTTGAAGTGAAGGTCTTTAAAAAATAGAGCAAGGTTTCCCAAATTGGAGACCTTCAGATGTGCTGGGACTTCATCTTGCAGAATTCTTGGTATAAACTATTCAACATGGAGAAAAGAACAAATTTTCTTTTGCAAGAAAAGACTCCATTTGCAAGTTGATAAGGCTGAACTATAGCCTAACATGTCCAGAAGGAATCACTATCACTAGAGAGAAATATCCCTCTCTTTAATATTTCTAGGTAGCCTGCCTATTACAGTAAGTAAGACATTATTAAATCAAGAAATGTAAACCTTTAAAAAAAATCCTGAAGTGGGCTGAGTGAATAAGTATATGTTTCATGGCCTCTAAGATCAGGGCTTGTGTCAAGTCCAGTGTAACTTGTTTTGTAATGTGGGCCCTGCCATAGAGAAGCCAAATTTAACCATTCTGTGTCAGGACCTGCAAATATCTACATAGCAGTGT